TCCTACTTCCGTAGTGATACTGCCTCGGAAACCCAAGGAGGGGTCGCTATGAGTCGGGGCCGACTCGACGGCACATAACAACAACAACAATTTGCAGCTTTGTCTTATTATCTTGATTTGTGCCACATCAGCAAAAGGAGGTCCTGAAAGCTTTACTCCATCCACATCATTAAGGTCAGCTCTATTCTGAGGAGGCAGCTCTTTCCTAGTCATATTTTGAGTGTCTTCTGACCTGAGGGGCTCATCCTCTGGCACTAAATCAGACCAGGTTACAGGGCTATTTTTCAGTAATAGACAGTGTTTCACCACTATTCATAAGGTTTTCTCTGGCCAGTTCTTTGAGAAGTATAAAGCTGACCTTTAGAGAAAAGAAAAAGAGGAGAAAAAAAATGATGTCTATTGATTTTTTTATTCCCCCTTCATTTTCTCTCTGTACACCTTTATCTTGGCCTCTGTCTTTACCTTCCACATTTTAGCAGTTTTGAAGATAAGGAGAATTAGATACCACATGGATGTGAGTTATAAAAAAGAAGAATAGAACATTTTACTTCACTTTTAAAATGAAAAAGAAAGTAAAGATACAGATTTGTTTCACTGACTTTAGGACCACCTTCTTTATCTGAATATCTTTTTTTTTTTTTTAAAGGTATCATGTATTTATTAATCACCCAATCCCTTAATGCGGAAGCATAAAAAGAAGAATCCAGAAGTTGCCCCAATACATGTTCAATTGATCATGGTAAAATCTCACACTTGACAGGGTAGAATGCTAGGGAACCTGGGTTGGTATGTGTGCATTCGCACGTGCAACTCCTTATAGACCCAGCTTGGTTCTTCTCCAATGTCTCCTCTTGGAGTTGTGCCTGATTTTATTACCAGTCTTCATTCGAATCCATTGTGGAATGGGCCGGTTCTGTTTTTGTTTCTTGGCCAGGAATCTCTTGATTCTGAAAGTCTTATGAGAAGACATGGTGAGGAAGGCAGGCTGCCACATCCAGAACGATGGCAGAGAAAGGCAAAGAGTGTCTGAATATCTTTAAGACTCCCTGACTTTTGTTCGTGAAATACTTGGGACAAATGAACTCTTCAGGCATGAAGAAGCTGGAACATCATATTCAAGAATTTATTGACCTCACTTGCTTTGGACACATCAAGAGGGATCAATGGCTGGAAGAGTATATAATGTTTGGAGAAAGGCTTATCAGGAGAGCCTGGCTTTATGTCATAACATTTCTACTTCTTTACTTACTCTGCTCTGGTTCCTGTGCTCTTACTTAAAGGGACAAGTGAGGTATACCCTCCCTTATAGTTGACTTCCATTAAGAAATTGGTTTTGTCCTTTAGTCCTTCCTCTCCTTTGACGGTCTCCTTCCACACCATAACCAATTGTGTATTCTTCCAAAAAAAATAGCAACTTGAAGTTTTTTATGAAAGATTGTGATCTTTCTCATGCACTCTCTTACACCCACTCTTTCTTGTTTCTCTTATTTTTCACAGACAGATATTTCAAAGAAAGTATTTAGAAACATCTCTGCGCCTTTTGCATATTGTAGCCTGGTAATAAAAATTTAGTTTCTAAGATTTAATTCTGCATGCTTGAAAAAAACTCAAGTAACAGTAACTGACTATAATCCAAGCCACATCTAAGTACAACAGGATTATTCATAATCGTTATGTATCACTTAGAAAAGAAGGGATGATTTTCCCTTATTTCTAGAGAGAAAGACAAAAAGTCAGGTAATTCAAGCAAACTTTGCATTTTTTTTTTTTTTTAAATAGAGACATTGGGGCTCCTGCAAGTGAAGAGAAACTATAGATATTTGGTTTTAGTCCCAGTTTTTTCAGAGTATAGTGTAGGGAGAAATAGGACTAAAGAATAGTGGCAGAGGCAGTTTTTGCTAGTACAAAAGGAAATTCACTGGGGTCATATAGAAGCCTTCCTCTTGACTAGATTCAAGGAATAAATAGAAGTAACAGCAGCTAATTTGTTGAGTGCTTACTAATTGCCAAGCTCTATGTTTATTGCCTGACATAGAATATCTCATTTAATCTTCACAGGAATCATAAAGAGTAGATCATTTATTCCCATTTTACTGTGGAGGCTTAAAGAGGTTAATGAAGTAATTTTTACTTATAATCTCACACCTGCTACATGATAGAGCTAATGTGATTTGAACCTAGATCTTTCAGACTCTAGAGCTTTATTCTCATGTTTGTGGTGTTTATATTGTATCGAGGCACTGACCTGAAAACTTGGCAGTCCTTTCTCATCTTACAGAGTAAGCTTTCTTAGCATGGTATTTAATATCCCACATGATCTGACCTCATTCCTCTTCACCCTCTTTTCTCATCATATCCACTTGGCACACCATCTACTGCATTTCTAAAAGCTTACCATATATATTTATACTTGTGCCTTAGTTGTCCCCTGAACTTGGAATGTTTCTCCCCTTGTGAAAGCTATCTTAGTAGATAGCTTTTACAAATGGAAATTTATTCTTTCACAATTTAGGAAGCTAGAAGTCCAAATTCAGGGCACCCGCTCAAAGGGAGTGTTTTCTCTCTCTCGGCTCTAGGGGAAGGTTCTTGTCTCTCAGCATCTTTGGGCTTGGAGTCCCTTGGAGATCTCCATGTGTCTTGGAAGCAATCTTCCCCTGAGTCTGTGAGGTTCTTGGCACAGGGACCATGGATCCAAAGGATGTGCTCCATTCCTGGCTTTTTTTCTTGGTAGTACTGAGGTCGCTTCTCTGCTCCTCTCTTCTTTCATCTCTTTGAAGATTAAAGGTGGTGCAGGCTATAGCTCAGAAACTCCCCTTTAGATCAGGGCTGTGACCTGATTTAGGGTGTTACGTCCCACCCTAATCCCCTTACAACTGATGAGCCAGTCACATCAGATCACACCCTGGGGATGATTACATCATTGAATAACTGCCAGATTACATTACCTAACTGCACACCATTGAGAATCATGGCTCAGCCAAGTTGACACGTATTTTGGGAGAACACAATTCAATCCATGACAGAAGCCCTACTCAATTGTTCAGGGTTCAGCACTAATGCCAGCTTTTTCATGAAGTATACTGCCAGTAGTACCCAGTCCTGCCAGATGGGTTTTTTTACCTTCTGCTCCATCAGTTTGTTGCACGATTCAATTTATAAGTTCACTCTGATTATGTATTTTCTTTACTATATTCCTTCTGCCCATAATAATACTTTGCATATGGAATTATTCCCTTTGACATCCCATGTATATTTTTCCCTGAGATTATTTCTTGGTTTTTGTAGGATGGAGAAGAATTCTTGGGAAATGCATGAGAGGAGGATGAAGGAGCAGTTCCTTATGGCACTCTCAGATAAAGATCAGCAGCTCAGCCATCTGCAGAACCTAATGAGGGAACTGAGGGCTCCTTCTTCCCAGACTCAAAACCTCAAAGTACAATACCAAAGACAGGTAAGTGATTGCAATGCCAATTACACCTCACTGGTCACTACTACACAGGAAGCATCCACCCCTGCAAGTGCCCACCTGACACTATTAGGTCATCTAATGACTTCCTGTGGGGTGGACAGGTTTGTCCAGGGAAGGAATTAAGCATGTTAAATCTTAAGAGAGAATTTTACCAATGCTTGTATCCTGGCAGGCATCTCCAGAGGCATCAGCTTCCCTAGATGGGTCACAAAACATAGTATATGAGACAGAACTTCTCAAGACCCAGCTCAATGACAGTTTAAAGGAAATTCACCAAAAGGAATTAAGAATTCAGCAACTGAGCAGCAAGGTAAGTGTCCCTGCTAGATTGGAGCTCAATTTCTTATTCATGACTAGAGACACGAAGATAAGTAGGAGCTGATTCCAGCTAGGCTCCAGCTGTAGCATACATTAAGGTATAGATTATTTGTTTTCAGAACTTGAATTGCTCTCTCTAAAACACTCACACAGGGCCATTCACTTTTCTTGCACTTTGAGAGCCTTTGGAAATGATTTTGAGAAATCCAGACTCTAAGAGTGAAAAGCCAACTCTTTTGGAAAGCTGTCTTCCTCCACATTGCTCCCCATCTGCACCACTTGTTAGTCAGGTCAGGAACACTCCCCACAAATCCCCTAATAAGCTTCTCTCTATTTCCCACAGTGTGCAACAGGGAAGAGTGTTAGGAAGGAGGCAGAAAGCTTTTCCGATGTGGTTAGATAACAGGGATAGGACTAAGACATCTGCTCTTCATTCTGCTCAATTTATGGGCTTCCTCATTGAGTGGAACCAAAGAAGCCATTTTTCTTTTTTCCAAACCCCAGCCTTGTCACTCCAGACACTCTAGGAAAGCATGCTGTAATAGTTGGGACTTATTTCTAGGAAATAAGGAAGATAAAGGAAGAACCACTTTAACATCTGGTCCCTAGAGCAAAGGTACGAGACAAGGTTAAAGAAAATTATTTGTGGATGCCTTCTCACATTTCTGTCTTCACTTTTCTTCCATTCTCTGGCTTCTTCTTATTTACCAACCATACCCCTTATGAATCAATATCCTCCTATTGCCCTCTGATTATTCTAAGTGTTTTCCAATGGTATCTTTCCTAGTTTTGCCCTTTTAAATGGAACCCAGTTAGCCAGTTCATGTTGTACCTAAAAGGGACTTAAGAAATCAGTTAGTGTTTGGAGTTCAGAGGTTGGCTTTGAGGGCCCACAGGCTTGGTACCATGGTCATGGGGTATATCAAGCTCATTTGGCATAACCTACTACACAAAAACATTGTTGGATATCTTGTTTTGGTGAGTAGTGACTGGGGTCTTAAAAGCTTGCAGGCAGCCAGCTAAGATGCAACAATTGGTCTCTCCTCATCCAGAGCAAAGAAGAATGAGGAAAATCAAAGTCACATGGAACAGTTAGTTCAAGGGACTAGTGGACTGTTAGGACCTCAGCCTACATGACCCTGAGACCAGAAGAACTAGATGGTGCCCAGCTACCACTCACTATCAACCACTCAGAAAGAAATCAGTGTAGGAAATCCTGGATAGAGTGGGAGAAAAATGTGGAACAAAACTCAAAATCATAAAAAGGATCAGGCTTACTGATCTGATAGAGACTGGTGAAACCCCCAAGACTGTGGCCCCTAGTCACCCTTTAGACCTGGAATTGCACTCAGTCCTGTCGCTTCCAGCCAAACAGTTGACAGGCATATACAGTGAACATTTACACCAGGCAAGTGCATTCCTTAGAATGATCAGCCATGGAAATCAAAAGGGCAGTCAGTGTTCATGTAGGGAGATAGCTCAGAGGGCAGGGATGCATAGCAAAGAAGGCCACTGGGAAAAGGTAACCACAGAGTGGAAGTGGGAAGAGAGCTGTTACATTGTGGGGATTGCAATCAATGTCATGAAACAAAATGTATGAATTATTGTATGGAAAATGAATTTGCTCTGTAAAGTTTAACCCAAATCACAAAAAGAAGAAGAAAAAAAAAAGATTGGCTTTAAGGAGAACTGTGAATGTCCAGAAATAATATGCAAAATGTCATGTATGTATATAAGTTTCTCATGAGTTCATCCAAAAATGATAAAGATCAGTGGACTATTTTCACAGAGGTATGGAGGCCTAGAGGTATTAAATAACTTTCCTGAGGTAATAATAGGAGTTCAGTCTGAGATAAATGTGGTAATACATGTGGAAAAGCACAGTGACTAGCATATGTAGAAAGTACTTATTAAATGTTATTAAATTCAGCTAATTGACACTAAAATGTCAGGGAGACTAATAGCACTATTAACACTGACAGAGATTTGCGTTTTTAAAGGTTTATTGATACAAATGAATGGCTCTTTGGTAAAATTACAGACCCTTTATTGGGAGATATTTCTAGAAATTTTCAAAGTAATGCTGACCCGTTTCCTCTCCCAGCTAGTTAGCTATTTCTAGAAAGTTCTAACCTCCTCTAGCCCAACTCTTTTTCTTTTTTTTTATTTTAAGAGCTTGTTTTACATTAAACATTTGTGTACATTTAATTCCACTCCCCATTTACCATATCCAACCCTGACCCAATCTCCTCCCCTCCCTACCCTGTAACCCTCCCCCTGTGCCCCTCATATTTATGCACTCTTGTTTGTCCTGCATTTCCTCAGTTTGAATGTTGGTCCTCTGGTGCCCCGTGGTCTATTGCTCTAAGTGATGTATTACCATAGAGTATGTGGGTGCATCATCCTGGGTTGAGTGGTCTGCGTGTACATCTTGTTAACTATTGAGCTGAGAGCCAGCCCCTGGAGATGTGTTTTATTCCAGGCGCAGAATGTATTCCACGGCCATAGTATTGGGGGTCTCATCAGATTTCGTCTGACTAGTAATTCTGGTCATTGAGTTTTGGGATTTTGTTCCACATTTTTCCTCCTACTCTCTCCAGGATCTCCAGATTTGATCCTTTCCTGAGTGGTTGCCATTAGTAGCTGGGCACCATCTAGTTCTTCTGGTCTCAAGGGACATCGTATCCTAGGGCTGATGGCTTCCAAATGCCCTTGTTTTTTGCCCTTGGACTCTTCTTCACTTCCGATGCTAGGAGACTGTTAGCTGCATCTTAGATGGCTGCTTGAAAGCTTTTAAGACCCCAATTGTAGGATGTGGAAAGGCTTTTATGTATTTTGTTGTGCCAATTGAGTCTGGTGCCCCCCAGTACTATGGTCCTGAGGCAGCAGATCTGTTGGATCTCTCTCCCATAGTATCTGGTTGTCTGTGAGGGATTACTGTGTGCCTGTCTTCTATTGTTTCTGTAAGGACTGCAGGTATTTTGTATCACTGGTGTCTGTGCAAGATTAGCCTCAGCTGAATCTATCCTTCATCTAGAGTATCCTTCTGTTAACTGATCCCCGTCTGATGATCTCAGGTGTTTATTTTGTGTGTTTATCTGTAGCCTGGTGTTTGGTGTTAATGGCAATGCAGTATTGTGGAAACATTGGTTGGTATTATCATCTGTCGTCTCTCTCTTATGTGCACAATTCGGTGTCCTCCCATTTCCTAATGTTATCATGGTGGTCACAGATCCCTTCTGTATATCCCTCCCCCTACCCACGTCAGCTTGTGGACCCCAACTAGCCCAAAATTAATCCCTCCTCTTCCCTCCCCATCCCAGTAGCTTACAAAGTGAGTTCCCTTTTCCAAGCAAACCCTTCTTTGTCTTTTTACAATAGTGGGCTTATACAGTACTTGTCTTTCTGCAGTTGACTTATTTCACTCAGCATAATGTCCTCCAGGTTCATCCACGTTGTGAGATGATTCGCATAGCCCTCATTGTTCTTTAATGTAGCATAGTATATTCCATTGTGTACATGTACCATAATTTGGTTATCCACTCATCTGTTGATGGGCATTTAGGTTGTTTCCATATCTTTGCTATGGTGAATTATGCTGCGATGAACATAGGTGTACATATGTCTGTCCATGCGCTGTCTCTCACCTCTTTAGGATATATTCCTAGTAATGGAATTGCTGGGTCAAATGGTATTTCTATTTTCAGTTTTTTAAGGAAACACCGTACCATTTGCCACAATGGTTGTACCATTTTACAATCCCACCAGCAGTGCACAAGAGTTCCAGTCTCTCCATAACCTCGCCAGCATTTGTTATTTTCTGTCCTGTTAAACTTTGCTATTATTGTTAGGGTAAGATAATATCTCATTGTTGTTTTGATTTGCATCTCTCTAATGATTAATGATCATGAGTAATTTCTCATGTGTTTGTTGACTGCCTGTGTATCTTCTTTGGTGAAGTGTCTGTTCAAGTCTTTTACTCATTTGTGAATTGGGTGATTAGTTTTTTTTTGGTGTTGAGGTGTTGAAGTTTCCTATGGAATTTGGAGATAAGTCCTTTATCAGATATGTCATAGGCAAATGTTTTTTCCCAATCTGTAGGTTCTCTTTTTACCCTTTTGATGAAGTCTTTCGATGCGGATAAGAATTTAATTTTTAATGAACCCACACCTGTGGTTTCCAGCCAAACAAAAGACAGGCATATGAGTTGAACATTTACCTCAGGTAGATACACTCCTTGGAAAGAACAATCATGGGAGAAAGAAGGGCTGCTTATGCACAGGGAGACAGCTCAGGGGGCAGGAGTGCATGGAGGGATGGACACTGGGAAGAGGTAACTATGGGGAGGAAGTGGGAGGGGAGCTGTTGCATTGTGGTAAACTGTGGTCAATGTCATGAGACAAAGTATATGTGAACTGCTGTATAAAAAATGAATTTGCTCTGTAAACCTTCACCCAAATCACAATTAAAAAAAAAAAAAAAGAATTTAATTTTTAAAAGGTCCCTGTCATCTAGCTTCTCTTCTGTCTCCTGCACATTCTGGGTTATGCTTGATAGTCTATTTATGCCATAAATTAGGGCTCCCAGATTTGCCCCTATTTTATCTTTGATGAATTTCATAGTTTTGGGTTTTACATTTAAGTTTTTGATTCCACTTGAGTTTGTTTTTGTGTAGGGTGAGGTATGGGTCTTGTTCCATTTTTCTGCAGATAGATATCCAGTTTTGCCAGCACCATTTGTTAAAGAGTCTGTCTCTTCCCCATTTAATGGGTTTTTGACCTTTGTCAAAGATCAGTTATCCATAGATGGGTGAGTCTATATCTGGACTTTTGATTCTGTTTCATTGGTCTATCGGTCTATCATTGTACCAATACCATGCTGTTTTGACTACTGTGGCTGTATAGTAGTTCTTAAGATTTGGGAGTATGAGATCTCCCACTTTGTTTTTCTTCTTGAGAAGTGCTCTGCTTATTCAAGGTCTCTCTCCTTTCT